GTGTGTGTGTGTGTGTGTGTGTGTGTGTGTGTGTGTGTGTGTGTGTGTGTGTGTTCGTTCTGCAAAGTTCCAACAAAGTTCCGAAATCACCTGCTGCATAGATTCGACATTCCAAATGCGAATGGTATTGTCTTCGGACACCGTCGCCAGCTGTTTCTGGGAACTGTCCACTGAAAACGCCAAGACAGTGCCCATGTGGGACCTCATGACGGTGCTGTAATTCCTCGACTGGATGTCCAGGCAGCCCACGTTCCCGGTGGCGGTGGTGCACAAAACCTTCAGATTGTCTGGGCTGATTCGAGCCGAAGTCACTGGATTGTTGTGCTCTGGAAGAAAGATGCCAGCTTAGTCAGCATTCGAGGGACATGGTTAGATTCACCGGGCAAAGGGAACAGTGAGGCATCTGGAGTTTCTTGGTGAGGATGCAAATAAGAAAAATGAGATGAGGTGAGGTAAGATGGGATGGATAAGATGATATGGTAAGGTAAGGTAAGATAGGACAGGACAGGACAAGACAAGAAGAAGACGAAGATGAGGACAATCTTTATTGTCATTTTTTACTGTGAGCACACTGGCCCACATTAAAAATGAAATTCTGGTGTCTGCTCTCAAAAGAAAGGTAAGGTAAGGTAAGGTAGGACAGGATAAGAACAAGGACAAGACCAAGATCAAGATGAAGACAAGACGAAAACAAGATGAAAACAAGACGAAGACAAGACAAAGACAAGACAAAGACAAGACAAAGACAAGACAAAGACAAAGACAAGACGAAGATGAAGACAAGACAATCTTTATTGTCATTGTTTACTGTGAGCACACTGCCCCACATTAAAAATGAAATTCTGGTGTCTGCTCTCAAAAGAAAGTATTTATTTACCCATACCCATACATGACACGCATATAACATGCTACATATATACATGCATATATATATTGTCAACCCTGAAGCTGACCTGACTGTGGTCATTTTTCACAACTTGAGGGATAGGGAGGGGGCAGTTTGAATCCCTAGTGCTGCGTAATGGAGTGAGCTCCCACTACTTGTCCCAGCTTCTGCCAACCTAGCAGTTCGAAAGCATGTAAAAAATGCAAGTAGAAAAATAGGGACCACCTTTGGTGGGAAGGCAACAACATTCCGTACACTTTTGGGGTTTAGTCATGTCGGCCACATGATCACAGAGACATCTTCGGACAGCTCTGGCTCTTCGGCTTTGAAACGGAGATGAGCACCA